GCACAGGGGTTTAATCCACTGCGCCACCGGGGGCTCCGGCTGTAGGATTAATGATAGGACATAATGTGCCACAACCATGCAGGTATAACTAGCCTATTCGCCTAATATGCAAAAGGAGAAATTGAGTTCTAGACATTTCAAGGAGGTAAGTTCTGCCTAACCAATGTACTTCCCAATAGATTTTTCTGCAATTCTGACATAATGTTTCTCCAGTTTAATTTTCCATGACAATGTAAACTGTGAAATGAAATAACACATACAGTTTTCAGTGGGAAAAAATGTCCTAAGTGATTTCTTGTCCAGTCCACCAAAATGAGTTAGCTATACCAACCATACTATTATGATAGACCTTCCTCTGCCAACAGGCTTTTGGGGAAGGGTAAGGGGAGGCTCTGGGGAGGGTGGGTGGGATTGGGGAGGGATATTAGTTTTAAATGCCATTTTAATGTATTTTCTGTATTTTAATTCTGTTTTTACCACACTGTTATTATTTAATGGTTTTTAACTTTTATATTGCTCTTTTAAAACTGTTTAGTGTGGATAGATGTTAGCAGCCTTGAGTCCCCATAAGGAGAAAGGCGACATATAAATAAAGATAACAACAACAACAACAACAACAACAACAACAACAACAACTTATGTCACAAGTACCACCTACCAGTAGTAAAGAATTGATGGAATCATAAACCTGCAAAGGTAGTGGAAAATGAACACGCAAAAATACTGTGGGACTTTGGAATCCAGAATCCAGTTTTGGAACACAATACACCAGACATTATGATTGTGGAAAAAAAAACCACTTTGGATTATTGATGTCACCATACCAGGTGACAGTCGCATTGAGGAAAAACAACAGGAAAAACTCAGCCGTTATCAGGACCTCAAAATCGAACTGCAAAGGCTCTAGCATAAACCAGTACAGGTGGTCCTAGTGGTCACTGGAGCACTGGGTGAGTGCCAAAAGATCTCAGCCGGCATTTGGAAACAATAAACATCGACAAAATCATGATCTGTCTACTGCAGAAGGCCACCTTACTTGGATCTGCGCGCATCATTCGAAAATACATCACACAGTCCTAGACACTTGGAAAGTGTTCAACTTGTAATTTTGTGATATGAAATCCAGAATATATATCTCGTTTGTTGTGACATACTGTGTTTTTGTGTCAGTAAAGTAATAATAAAAATATGTTTGAATGCAAGCATTAATTTAGATTATTTCCAGTTGCATGAATGAGTCCCTGGTCAGTATATGTTTAAAAGAGAAGTGTGGGACCCTTCAAGTTTTGTCAAACGAAAACTTACAGAATTCTGCACCATTCTCTATGCTGACTACAGCTGATATGAGCTCCACTTCAACATCATCTGTAGAGCTACATTTTTCACAATCTGAAGCTCGCTCTGATGTCAGCAATAGGTATGTATATAAATAAAGAAATCCAGAACAGATTTAATTGTTAGATATTCTTAGAACATTCTGAAATCACTTGAACTTTTTTAAAAAATTAAGGATAATTACATAATTAACATAGAACTTATTCTCTGCAGCTACCTTCTCTATTAAAATTTATGGTAATTGTTTTTTTATATGTTAACACTTTTGAAATGTCAGTAATGTTTTAATTTTGCCATCAATGTATATAAATTGAGTTATTAAAATCTGCATTCTAAGTTAATATCTTAAAACATTATTTTCTCTGGTGGTGAAGAAACTACAGCATCACCTATTAAATATTAAAGCATGTATAGTCTAAAAATGTAAATTATGGATGCCAAGCCATGGAAGTATTACTACCTTGGAAACAAGATTTGTTTCTGTCACTGAAAAAACTTTATTATTTGGGAGGTTTACTTTTAATATCTGAAACAACATCTCATCAACAACTCAGATTGATGACTTCCCAAACATCATGGCATCAAATAAGACTCCAAACAATATCTCAGTACCAGCATATACTTCTGTCCATATACCTCATTATTTTACAGCAGAATTCTAAAATAAGAAACACTTTCCACAAATGCTGGAGAAATATGCATTTTGGTTTGACTTATTCATGGGTCAATGTAAATACTGTACCACTCTTGTAAAAAAAGAATGAAATGGGAAAACGTAGTCTAACATGGGAGAGTCTAAAAGATGCTGCAACCTCTCTACTCTCTCCATCATGACACAGTCTCTGGCTTTTCGAATGTCTGGGTGAAAAAATGGTAATGGCCGCCAGAAGCATCTGGATCTCCGAGGTGATGCTGGTGCTTTCATCTCCCCACAAAAGAACCCTTGACTTATCCATGAGACATATCAAAATCTGTCCTTGATCTACACATGATGTTGACTTATAAAAGAATGTATGGTGTAATCTAATTAAACAAAATACAAATTACTAAATGGTAAAATGGGCATCAAATCTTTAATTTATGCAGCTATGAGTGTTCAAGTCACCTGATGACTTATGATGACACCATGAATTTCAAAGAATTTTCTCTAGCAAAGAGTGGTTTGCTCATTTCTTTCCTCTGAAATATAGCCTACAGTGGTGATCTCTCACGGAAGTACTAACCAGTGGTTAAAAAGGCTGATACTGCCTTTTCCTTCACGTTGACCACAAGTTCACTAAAGGAATTTCTTTGGAGCATATAACTCTTCCCAACTGTTTCAACCTCATAATTGTGTTTTCCTTGTAACAGCTACATTTTTTTCTTGTAAATGGTAAAATGTTGTCAGTCACCTAAGTTAGTGGACTTCAGTTGCAACAATAGCACCACCGGTTTGCAACACTTATTAGGAACTGAAGTTTTCATTTGCTGGACCAGTCTACAATCTATTTTGTCCATCCCAAACTATTTCAAACATTTCTGAGAAGGTCACAAGCAGTACAAAATATGAGCAGATATGTAATCTGTCCCCTGCATCTCATATTCAGAGGTATACTGGTTTCAGGCCCGTAGCCAGGATTTTGTTTCGGGGGGGGGGGGGGGTTTGGTTTCGGGGGGGTGGGCTGAGTCTGAGTGAAAGAGGGTCTACCCTAGCAAACCTTTTGTATCGTTACCCCAATACCCCCATGCATATGGGATATATTGCGCATGGTGATCAGATCATGATATGAATAAACATAACAGTTTAAATAATGTACCAGTAAGGCCTTCTCGCGGACCATGAGAATTTTTTGGGGGGGGGGGGCTGAAGCCCCCCAAGCCCCCGGCTACATGCCTGACTGGTTTCATTCTATGCTAATTCTCTGTATGTTTTTATGTTAAGTTTTTGATGTTTATTTTTATTGATTACTAATCAATGATTAGGTCTATTTTTTTTGCATATTTTATATGTTATGTTTGAACTGTTGTAGCCTTGTAAGCTGCCCTGAGTCCCTTTTTGGAGATGGGGCGTGATATAAATAAAGTGGCTGTTGTTGTTGTTATTATTATTATTCTGCATTGGACTTTCAGTGTTTGTTAGCCACATCAGCCTTAATAAATGTATTCTTTACCTATGCTCCACATCCTCAAATTATATGACATCAGCCACTTAATAAATCTATAACTTGACCAATTTGGTCACTCTCTACTCATTTTCTCCTCACCACGCTGTATGATAAGTGCCTTCAAGTCACCTGTTGACTTATGGAGACCCATTAATTTCATAGGGTTTTAAGGCCAGGAATACTCAGAGGTGGTTTCCCTCCTCTGAAAAATAGCCTACAGCACCTAGAATTCATTGGTGGTCTCCCATTCAAATACTAACCAGAGCTGACCCTGTTTGTTCTTTCAGTTCAGAGGGGATATACTGCCTTTAGGATAGGTAGGCCCACCAGAGTCCTGTAAATGGGCTCCTGTAAATTGTCCTCAAGAACACATACCTATTTATTACGACACATCAGTTACTTGGAGGAACCAGCTCTTTCAGGCTCCACTGCTTATCTACAGAATTACCTGAAGGCATTTTTTGCTCACTACAACCTACCAAGTGAGCAGTTATTATTAGTTCTACATATGTATCCTATTTCTATAGTTTTAAGAAAAACTCTACAAATAATGCAGAATTGCAAAACTCTAAATACTTCAAATGACTGGTGGCACCCTTTAAAAGATCCCTGTCATGTTAAGAAGAATATTTCATTGAATGTGTTTTTATAATGGCTATTTTTCTACATACCAAAAGGATTTATTTTATTTTTTTTTTGCAAATGCAGGAGCAGACCATTTTGTAGTTCCCTAACTGATACAACCCTTCCAGCTTACTCTACTATTTCATTCTGTAACTTATAAATCACAATATTCAGGAGTTGTGTACATCATCCCTTTGACCTAAAATAAGCACCTCTGGAAAACTTACAAGTCAGCTATAACAACGATAAGCATCTCTTTTCTGTCTTCAGAACATCTAACCAGTTTTTAACACATGCATGTTCACACAGAAAATGGATAATATTTAAACACTGTCGAAATAAAAATTAAAGATTAAAGATTAAAGATTAAAAATGACAGTTCCCACTCAATAAAACCCCACTTTCCAAGCCAAGCTGTAACTAATAGTCCCCTTGAATAAAAAGATCTATTGCCAAAGGCAACAGTGATTATCCATGTCAGATTCCGATATTTGTTTTTGTATTTGATTAAGAACACCTTATTATAACATCTGAACCTAGACGAACTGCTGCCATGTTTGATCTGGTTTAGTGGAAGAAGCCAAACTTTAGACCACTTTTTTGTAAAATTTGGTCATTTCAACTAATAACTATTAAGATTAACCACAGTTTAGAGTTCAGCCAATATAAGAAACGGCAGTTAAGACAAAACAGAAGTGCTTTATATTGACTTCCAGTCCTTTCCTTGTAACTGCACTGGGAGTCAATAGGTGCAATGAAAGTGGCTACTTCTCCCCAAGTGTCATAGTACAGCACAATGTCCAAATGCAACTATTTACAAAACTAGATATTAAATATTACGCAAACAGTGTACGACCTATCTGTAAGCTTTGTATACATTTTTAGTAAGCAACTTACTTTTGCTGCACCTATCTGTTCTTTACGAAATTTCTCCAGAGGTGCTATTAAAACATCATTAGCATTCTGGATCTGAAATGAAAAAGAGAATCACATTTAATTTTAGGACAGAAAAGTCTTTTGTTGTTGTTGTTGTTATTGTTGTTGTTGTTGCTGCTGCTGCTGTATTTGTGTGCATTTTAAAAAAATGTTTTTGTTAAGTTTCAACAAAAACAACAATGTATAATCAAAAAGGACAAAGAAAAAGGAGACAATAAAACTAGCCAAACATAACATAATAATATTAAAAATAAAAATAAAGACACTTCTATCAATACATATACAGGCAGTCCACAGATAGGTTCTGTAGGTTAGTTCTTAAGTAGAAGTTATAAGTCAGAACAGGTAGATATTACCGCTATGCAAAACTTCATTAGCAATTAGTTTTTTATTTGTAATACATTAAATTCATATATACGGAGCAATATTTAGAAACACAACGGGCAGCCACACAAAAAAAGTTTTAAACCTTTTTAAAAGGTTTAAAACACTGACATATGAAATTTGGATGAGTTATGTAACTCTCGTACATGGCTCCAGGTCTTTGTTGCAGGTACCACTTCTTCCCCCAAAAGGGCTGGGTTTGGTTCCCCCAAAGAGCCCTGAGTAGGATGGTGAGGCTGGAACTAAGGAAGAAGCCCTGCTCTTTCCCCATAGTCACTGTCTCAAACTTAATTTCCCAGAATTTTGCTGATCGCCTTGTGCCATCACCTAAAGGGATTTTGAGATAAACGATGAGGATTGTTGGAAGTTGAATAAACCCTGTAAGGTAGGCTAAGTTGAGAATGGGAAACGTAATGTTGGTGGTCAGGAAAAGAGATTTAAAGATGGGCTTACAGCCAACCTTAAAATCTGTGGCATAGAAACTGAGAACTGGGAAGCTCTGGCCCTTGAGCGCTCCAATTGGAGGTCAGCTGTGACCAGTAGTGCTGCAGAATTAGAAGAGGCACGAATGGAGGGGGAAAGGGAAAACATGCTGTAACGACACCACCAGTTGTAGGGACGTTACTGATTTGTCGGAGTCTCCTACAATTTGTAATGAATCTACAAATTCGATAACACAGCCACTCGCCTGTAATATTTTGTTTATCTTCCTTTGATGTGTAGCACGGCTTGACTTGAAAGTATACGAAACAGAGGCTTGGATTTAAGAGAAACTCTAATGAATTTATTGAAGTATAGAAGCTTAATGGTTTCAATGTTTCTTACTCCTAGAGGTACATTCCTTTAGTGGTTACATTTATAACCTTTCATAAAACAACTCTTAGACGGACTCTTCTTTCCACTAGAGAGGTTTTAAACTTATTTCCTTCAAAATGTGTTTCTTTCCTTAACAGATCACTCCTAGCCTATTCTTTCTCTCTGTTATCTCTGTTCCAGTAAAGATTCTTACTAGGGTTCTCTTCCTTTTTTTCCCAAACCCTAACTACTAATCTAGATAAGTCAACTTGGCCTATCTAAACCACACAGACTAAAAGCCTAAACCGTCCTGATTTTCAACACAGTAGAACCAGCTTTCCCTGTGGTTCTCTGACCACAGACTGCCTATTTAAAATGCCTGCTCTTGCCAAGTGGCAGCTTGCTCCTCCCCTTTTATCATAACAACCCATCTCAGAGTGAGCTGAGCTGGCTGCCATCCCCCCAGTTATGCTATTTTAAATACTTACCCCTTTAAACACCTACCTATAATTATACATGACTGTAGGTTAAAATTCACACTTCACCACACATGCCAAGAGGAGGGCACAACATGCCAACCCTGACCGGGACCACCTTTCACTTGGAAACCAACGTCCTTACTGCGGGAGAACACGTGGATCAAGAATACGGCTCCACAGCCACCTACGGATCCACTGCCAAGACACTATACTTGGAGGACCATCGAGGGATTGCCTAAGTAAGTAAGTAACCCTCAAGGGAAGAGGAGTGATGAGCAGAACTTCGAAAGAACAGCCTACCAAATAGACAGATTCCCTGAGAAAAATGGGTCTTTCAGCTGCCTCCCCATAACTAAGTAGCAGAATTTTCAAGTATTCAATTACATAAATAATTTATGCAACAAACTTTTAAATAATGAATTTGGGTTCGCTGAGGGAAGAAAATTAATTTGTATAAAGAAGCCTGAATAAAATATATATTCTAAAGATGATTTTTTTCCTCCTAAATTAAGGAGTTTCCCACCACAATATATTCTCTTGCCAACTATTGTGTTTCCCTCCTCTTCATTTATTACTCTAGCAACCTCTCTGGATGGGCAATCTAAATAGTCATTCCCTCTGTCTCAAGATTCGGCATTTTGTAAGACTGAAACAGCCTTTTTAAAAAATCCTTATAAATATTTGAAGAAGGAAAAAACATTTTTATGCTTAAGCTCCCAGAACTGTAGTTATTTTAAAGTAATTAAGTTTTAGTATGGAACACTTGTGTATTTCAGTGCTAATTGTAGGATACGGTGGCAAGACTAGTGTTGGAAGCCATGTTTAATATAGTTATCCCCTTGCAAACCCCAATACCATTTCTAGTTGGAGAACAATTTCCTTCTGTTATAATCACCCTCTAAGCTCATGAGCACTTAATATGCCAAATGAACTGTTAAGGATATTTTGATAGCTGGTGCTTAAAGCTGGGCTGCTGAAGTGGGAAAGAGAAGTTAACATATTAGTAATGACTCTTAAAATCAATTACAAACTGCAGCCTTGCACATGTGAAGCAAGAAAGTGACTTTGGATAATGCACATGAAGACAGTAGAGCCTCTTTGTACTATTTGATTTGTGTTTAACGGTCTATTCACAACTTTTAACATAAATGTAGTGTTTTTTTTAACTGGAGATGGTAAATCCTAAGAAGATACCACATATCCTTTAAGTGATGGCTTGGGAAATATTATTAGTTACGCTCTTTCGCCATGACTATGGAAAAGTCACTGTTTGGAATTATCTCAGTAATTTACCAGATTTTTTAATCTATTTCTTCAACTAACCAGATTTTCCTCAAATTCAGCACTGAGTTAAATACAGTCACTTCTCCACATTTGTGGGTTTTACTTTTGCAGCTTTAATTACAGTAGAGTCTTGCTTATCCAACATAAACAGGCCAGCAGAACGTTGGCTAAGCAAAAATGTTGGATAATAAGGAGGAATTAAGGAAAAAAGCTTATTAAATGTCAAATGACGTTATGATTTTACAAATTAAGTTAGTTTGTTATACCACAAACTGACAGAAAAAGCAGTTCAATACATGGTAACGTTATGTAGTAATTAATTATTTTACGAATTTAGCACCAAAACGTCACAATGTATTGAAACAGCTGTGGTTCCAGCAGGCCCGTAGCCAGGATTTCATTTGGGGGGGGGGGGGGGGGTAATTTTTCAGGGGGAGTTTCGGGGGGGCTGAGTCTGAGTGAAAGAGGGTCTAGCCTAGCAAACCTTTTGTATCATTACCCCAATACCCCCATGCATATGGGATATATTGAGTATGGTGATCAGATCATGGTATGAATAAACATAACAGTTTAAGTAATGCACCAATAAGGCCTTTTCGCGAACCACCATGAGAATTTCGGGGGGGGGGGGCTGAAGCCCCTCAAGCTCTATGTTGTCGGAGAGGGGGAGGCTGAAGCCCCCCGAGCCCCCCCCCCCCCGGCTACATGCCTGGGTTCCAGGCAGGAGGCACAGTCTCCTACAGAATATTGGATGAGCCAAGGTTGGTTAAGCAAGACTCTACTGTATATGCAGATTTTATTCATATGTTCCTTCTAGGAGTATCTGGGTCCTACAGCACCATTCTATTGTCAATTTACAATGGAAACTGAACTTTATAGTTGTGCTGGAGGACCTACTGTTTCCTGCTGAGATTCCTACTGTTCTTCTCAGGTTAACAAAAAAAATATATTTTGAATTGTATTTTTTCCATTTCATGGGGGCCCTACATCCCCATCCCCTACAAAGGCGGAGGTTCTATTTTATATGGTATAGAGCACTGGGGCTCTAGAATTATTTATTTTATTTATTTCATATTCTTCTATCCCGCCCTTCTCCCCACAAAGGGGACTCAGGGTGGCCTCACATAGGCATCAACGATGCTTGCAATGTATATGTGAAGATCCCTTACCTTGCCAGCCGGGGTGGCAGGGCCTAGGAGAGGCAGGCTAGTTAGTTTCAGCCTTAGAAGGCCTGGCAGAGGGCAGCAGGAGCCATTTTAGTTTAGGGAAAGCTCCAGTTCAGAGAGGGGGAGTGGCCTAGGCCTGAGCCAGCCTTGAAACAGCCAGGATTGGTTTATTAAAGGGGGGCGGAGTTAGACTGTTTGGAGGGAAAGAAAGAAGCTTCTTTAGTGAGTCAGTCTGTTGATGTTAGAGTTAGAGCAGGATTACAGTAGCTTTTAGGAGTTCGTGTTAGGAATAGGCAGTTTGCCTGAAGTTTGCCAGCGAAGTAAGCTGTGGCAAACTGAGTACAGCTATTTAGGGGGAAAATAGCTGGGTTTTATATTTGTAACCAAGAAAGAACCATTCTCATGCAACCGTTACGCTTTTAAGAACAAGAACATTTTATCTGTAACAGCCAAGCTTATTAAACTGCATTCACTTCATTCTGTACTTCTATTCAATAAACTTTCCTTGTTATTTTTGAAACTTAAGCCTGAGTCAAGTGTACATTTGTGGATTTAGTCCCTTTTCCTTTTAAATCAACCTCACCTGTTTTCCTTCAAAGAAGCCATTTAAAAGACACAGTACTTGGTGGTCTAAAAAACTGTTTTAATAATATTAACCAGCTAGAGGGTTCCTGTTCTTTTAGTTTATGGTGGCAGCGGAAGTTTAAATAGAGAGACATCCCCTCAAACGTTATATAGGTGCCAGTGAAGTCTTTATAAAGTGGTGTAAATTCTTTATTAAAGGAGGGACAGTTGGTGGGATCTGTTTTCCCCCTGTCCAGTTATTGTTTGGCCACACGACGTGCCTTTATAATTTGGTGTTAGATGGTGGGATTGATCGTATTGCCATCTGCCTGCCTTTATAGTATACACCATAAAAATACAA